CCAGGCAATACTGTGAGGTCAGCAAAATGTACTCTCAGAAATCTTACCTCCCTTGATGGTAACTTTACCCCTCACAACCCCCATCGTAAGGCCTAGTCCAAGTTCTGTTTACCTCCGGGCACTTAGGACTTTTGTATTATCCTTTGTTCAAGGAGCATTCACCTTAAAGGGTCAGGAACTGAGCCTCCCTGACTCATTTGTATTTCAAAAAAAAGGAGTCTGGGAGGAGGAGACTATTTTTATCAAAAGGAATGAATAAATAATTGTGAAATTTCTGGCATTAAAGGGTACGTGGGCTTATCAGCCTCATTCAAATCATGACGGATCTTAGTTCACCTACGGCTAGGGTCTCAGTCTTGGAGGTATGTAGTTCACCCTGGGAACTTCTTAGAAATAATGATAATCGAGGGGCACCTGGGTGGCTCAGCTGTTAAGTGTCTGCCTTCAGTCCCATCGTGATCCCAGGGTCCTGGGATGGAGCCCCACATCGGGCTCCCTGCTTGGCGGGAAGCCTGCTTCTTCCTCTCACACTCCCCTTACTTGTGTTCCCTCTCTCACTGTATCTCTGTCTAATAAATAAATAAAATCTTTTTAAAAAAAGAAAGTGATAGTTGAGGCCCTTACTCAGAGGAGCTGGGAACCACTGATTTAAGCCTAAAATGGCCTTGCTCTTGCGAAAAAGAAAAGCAAAATGCCATTGGAAGATCAAATCTTAAAGCACGGTGGGAGGGACTGTGAGAGTCATTGATAAAGTGAAGGGAAGGTTAAAAATAGGCCCAACTACTCCACAATAAGCAAGTGCTAGGCAGCACCAAAGGAAGTAATCTGTGGCTGATCTAGTCTTCCACCCCAAACCTCCAAGGAAAACTGCCTGGCCCTAACTGTTAGTCCTTAAATCTGCTTTCCAGATGGTTCCCAGTTATGACTATAGGTAAAGTCTCTGAACTAAGGGGCTAAGTCTTCAAATGTTTGATGTACCCAAGTCAGTAAGTTGTCAGTTGATATTTTATGTAGAAGATAAATGATTTTGTTAAAAATATGACATCTGTGTTATTTATTTACATTGTACTGCGCACCATGGGTTTAGCATTTGTTATCAAGTTCCTTGCTTTAAATTCTACGATGGGCAAAAGGTGAATTCACCTTGTGTAGCTGGATCATCTTTGCTTAAGCTCTGACCTCAGTCATCCCCTAACCACCCCTAGCCACCCCTGCTGTTGATAGCATCACAAAGCCCTCATTATGACGTCACACTGGCTCCCTCACCGCAGCTTGCTTTGCCTTTTCTGTCTTTCCCTGCTTCAGAGATGGTCCTTCAGAAAGACAGATAGGGAGCATGGACTACCTTTCACCCACCAGCTGTGTTTTCTAGACACATCCCTAAACAATGCTTGCTGGAGAAACATTTTTAGTATTCTAAGCAAGCAGTGTCTCCTATTTCTAAGGAAAATCCCATCTGTGGATAGCAAGGCTTCTGTGTCCATTGACAAGCCCCTGCTCCGAGATGTCTGAAGACTCAGAATCAAGCACCTCGGGGAATCCCCGTGATCAAAAGAAGGAAACAGGTCAAATTCTTTTTTAGAGACATGACTGCTGAAATAGGGGAATGGACATAAGAAAAATTAGTCCTGTCTTTGTATTTCTTCCTGTATGTGTATATTTACCTTTATAAATAGCTACATATTTTATTTGCTTGATTAAAAGAATACCAATAATAACTATACTTCATCTGGCAGCACTGTAAAGTTTAATTAATGTTTCTAAGGTATGAGTTGAACTCACAAGATGAAAGTTTCTATATATGGAATATGTGTTAAGTGCCCAATCTGGTTTAGTCTGATAATGGCCATAATTGTATGGTGTCCTACATAGCATGTCTTGATTATTGTGGTTTCAGTGAGTTCAACCTTGAGAAATGTATTTTAATGTTGAGAATTTGTTTGACGTTGGTTGACAAATGTTTAGGTGTATAGAATATATATGCTTCTGTTTTAATTAGCCCAATTATTTTATTCTTGATTTACAAGATGTTTTACAAAGAAACATGGAAGGTTTTACTTCTTTTTAAATTGGTCCAAGGGTCCAAGAAGGCACAAAGGTCTGGCCCTCACACATCATATAGTCATATCTAAGTTGGTTTGTGCCACAAAATCTAAATGTTAAATTTAAAAAATCATTATGAAAATTACATATCCATATTAAGATGTGCTAAATATGTGAGACATGCTAAATATTTTGTGACCTGGCACAAAATAAAATAAGGTTGTTAGGATATCAAAAGAAGATTACTATTAGTCGCCAAGATAAAAAAGAAAAATATTTTTTCCACAAAACTCATTTAAGGATATTTCATGGAAAACTTAAATAATAAGTTAGACTACCAGGTTATTCAAAGTGAGCTAGCACTTAAGAGCCAAGGATCTGTGCTTTTAGAGACAACATATAACTTGGAAGACTGAAGGCCTTAGATAATCATGTTGGATTGGGAGATATTATTATTATTAGAATGTAGTTGAATATTAACTCTCAACTATACTTTATGTTAGTATGAAAGTTTATCTTTGAATGGCAAAAGCAGTTTTCTGTCCATTCCCTTTCAGCTATAGTAATATTTGTAATTTTAAAAATATCTAGTACTTTTATATATCCTTTAAGAAATATCATTACATGAATTAGAACAGGCCTCATTTTTTTTAGTCTTGAGAAGTCTTTGGTTAAATTGCCAATCCTTCTAGAAAAAGTATCAATTTGAGCCATTATCAGCAGGCCCAGCCATACACTCTTCCAAGGAGTATAACTATACAAATTAGAACAACCCTGTTCATTAAATCTGGAAAATTAGCCAGTTAATCCTCCCCTGTAAAGACATGGCATTATTTTTAGTCTCGTTCAAAGAGATACTCAATTCGATAAGTATCTACTCTGCATTTACAGTTATTCAGCATTGTGTGAAATATGAGACACGACAAAGGAGGATTTAATGTTTTAGGATAAGAGTGACAGTCTCATTTTAGGCAGCAAGAACAAAATGGTATATTCAAAACACATAGTAGTCCATCTTCCCCCTTTTTCAGTGTCTAACACAGTTCTCTGTGGCCCTAGGGCTTAAGTCCATCAGAGCCTTGCTCTCAGCCAATTGTCACCAAACAGCACAAAGCTGGTAGTGGCTCAAGGTGGTACCTCTTTCTAGGAGAATTTGTATTTTTTTTAAAGATTTTATTTATTTATTTGACAGACAGAGATCACAAGCAGGCAGAAAGGGCAGACTGGGGAGGGGGAGCAGGCTCCCGGCTGAGCAGAGAGCCCCACTTGGGGCTCAATCCCAGGGTCCTGAGGTAATAATCCCAGAGTCCTGAGATCATAATACCAGGGCCCTGAGATCAGGACTTGAGCTGAAGGCAGAGGCTCAACCCACTGAGCCACCCAGGCGCCTCTAGGAGGATTTGCATTTTAACCAAGGACTTTTGAAGACCTAAAACTTTAAAAATAAATGAATAAAAAGTGGGCTTGTATAAACAGCTAGAAAATGGATTTATTCTTAGAGTTCTGATGTGTCTATCACAAACTATACAATAGAAACTGCTTTTACACCACCCACCATCCTGTTACTCCCCTGCTTTTACTAGCCCAGCCTGTTCCCTCCTTTCCTTGCTATCTACCCTAGGGTACAGGGTAGACCAGATTTTTGGCTTTGTGTGCCAGAGGAGGGAAGGAAACATTCTTCCTCTACCCTTCAAGGTCTTCCATCTGGATTAAGAATTAAATTTACATGAGATAGATTAATAGGAGGGAAAAACCAAAGTTTTATTACGTGGGCACAGAGGCCTAATAATAAAATTGAGACCTCAAGAAATGACTAACACAGGCAGTTTCTATACATTTTAGACAATGAGACAACAAATTTGTGAGGAATTGACAGGATAAAGAAAACAGGTGTTTGGGAGCTTTAATTAGTAGGGAATTCTAAGCAAAATTTAGACTGAGGTAAATTAGAAAAATATTTCTGCAGCTTTCTCAGCATTAAAGTCTCTGTCTCTGGTGATAAGAATTTTTTTTAATATCATAGTACAGGGAGGATATTTTTCTTATGGGGAATTTGTTTCTTTATTTCAGTGGGACAGCAGGGGGTCTTCCTGTCCTTGCACCAGTTGCTTCCTAAGTAGCTTCGATTCAAAATAACCAGTATGCTATTGTTACATTTTGGGCAACCTGCTCTGGCCCCTACCCAGGCACTCTTGAGCTTCATTTTCCTTACTTCCAACTAGACATCTTACTTTCTAGCTTCGCTACACTTTCAGTGTTTCCATGAACAGGCCAGACCATTACACAACTCCCTGCTTTGCCCATTTCCACTGCCCAGAATGCCTTTCACATTCTCCCCTCTTGTCTTTTTGGCAATTCCCACTTTGGGACCCAGCATAAACAATTCCTCTGTGAAACTGACTATTCCATAATTCCTCCAAATCTTTTGATTCATCTGTTTCCAGAGCACTTTGTACATCTGTTACAGAACTGTTACAGAAATTAGTTTTGAAACTGTCTTCCCTTACTGGCTTCTCAATGGCAGGGACCTGGGTATAGTGTGTGGCATAAACTCTTTCAGTATATGCCTGTTTAATGTTTCTGCAGTTAGAATGATCAACAGGTTGGCAGATCTAGTTTTATTTGACATTGTGCTGCCCCCCCATGCCCTCGGGTTAAATTTAGGCAGGAAATTTACAAGGTTTCTTGTTGCTAACTTAACCAAATTTAGAGGTTTGTTCTTATGAGTTATCCATTTTGAAATTTGAGCTTGTGTAATACATTGGTAGAAAACATTGATTTTTGCCAATGTCATTCTCCTAAAATGTGTTCTTCCAGGATGAACTGAGATTTGGTAAAAGTGGCTATGTTTACCCTGTAAATTGCTGGATTGATGACGGAGATCAGGGTTGGGCTTGGTACTGGGAAGTGTGTGTGTGTGTGTGTGTGTGTGTGTGTTGGGGGGAGGTGTTAGTTACCTTCCTGTTTCTTGGGCCTTAGAATGCACCCGTAACTCTGGCCAGCCATCTTAGAAAATGCTCCTGTTAGGAAGGTAAAAAGATTTGCAGCTACATTACTGAGAAAGGTATCAAAACTCAGGCCCTATTCATATTGGATCAGGGGTGTCTTTGACATAATTTATAGCTCAATCAAAGCAAAAACTCATTTTCTTTGTATCTTAAGATCTTTTTCTTTTTCTTTTCTATTTTAACATGACATTTCTGCTTAGCACCAGGCATAATGCCATGATTATGTTTTCCTCCATTTCGGGTTACTCCCCTTGCCTTACAACCCCTCCTTATTCCTTTATCTCTTTCAAAGTTTCCATTCTCGGTTCCCTAACTTTTTACTCCCTCCCTTCCTCTCTTCCTCCTCCTCTTTTTTCCCAGCTAGCTCACCCCGCCCCTCGCCGTCATCACCTTCCCTCCCCTTCAGGCTTCTTCCCGCTGCTTCTCCCGCCACCTTCCCCCGACCCGACCCGCCTCGCCTTCAGAAAGCCCCAATCAGGAGCTCGGGAGGTGTCTCGAAAGCCCGCCCCCTCCTCCCTTTCCACTTCTCCCCCCCCCCCTTTTCTCCCTCCCCAACCCCCCCCACTCAAGTCCTGCGGACCTGGGGGCTTCGGGATCTGGGCGCTATGAAAAGTGTCTGCCCAGTCACTTCCGGTAAGGGCGCTGCAGCGCGAAGCTCCCCGCGGGACCGTTAAGGAGGGGGTGGGAGTTACCGGCGGGCCAGGGAAGGACAGTGCTGCCCGGGAAGGGGAGCGGAAGAGGGAGGGGGAAGGACAGCGAGAGCGAGGAAGGAGCACGAGTGTCTTGGGCGCCTTAGTCGCCGCTTTCCCGCCGCCTTCCCAGGAGTCAGCTCCCCCGCCCCCCGGGCGCCCGCAGTGTTTCTCTCCACCCCCCACTTCGGAGGACCGACGCTGCCCCTCCTTCGCCGCCGCGTGACCGGAAGTGGCGCCATCTTTAGCCTCTTGTGCTATTGACAATAACAAGCCCTGGTTCTCTCCCCCTCTCCCTTCCCCCTCCCCCCAACCACGGCATCTCCCCTCCCAGAGAGAGGGAGAAAAGGAGGAGGAGCTGCAGCCTCACAGACTCTCTGAGTCGCTCCTGCAGAGAGGGGGGAGAGAGACCGAAAAGCAGGGGAGGGGGACGGCACAGCCGTTTACCTGTCTGCCTCCTCATTCGCTCTCCCCCCTCGTTCTGCTCACTCCTGGTGTCAGCCTATCCGCCTTCCCAAACCCTCCCATTCCCCCGGTGTAGCCCCCCCTTCACTTTCCTTCTCGTCCTCTGTGTTTCTCCTCTCTTTCTTCCCTTCCCCCTCTAGCATTGCCACCTTCTCTCCTACACGCACGCAGGCATATAAACGTAGGTTTTTGATGCTCCTCTGCCTGTTGACCCCGCTATTTTCATGTTTCCAACAGGTTTTTCTTCCCCCAATCCCTCAGCTGCTGCTGCTGCTCAGGAGGTCAGATCTGCCACTGATGGTAATACCAGCACCACTCCGCCCACCTCTGCCAAGAAGAGAAAGTTAAACAGCAGCAGCAGTAGCGGCAGTAACAGTAGTAACGAGAGAGAAGACTTTGATTCCGCCTCTTCCTCTTCCTCCACTCCTCCTTTACAACCCAGGGATTCGGCATCCCCTTCAACCTCGTCCTTCTGCCTGGGGGTTTCAGTGGCTGCTTCCAGCCACGTACCGATACAGAAGAAGCTGCGTTTTGAAGACACCCTGGAGTTTGTAGGGTTTGATGCGAAGATGGCTGAGGAATCCTCCTCTTCTTCCTCCTCATCTTCACCAACTGCTGCAACATCTCAGCAGCAGCAACTTAAAAATAAGAGTATATTAATCTCTTCTGTGGCTTCGGTGCATCACGCAAACGGCCTAGCCAAATCTTCTGCCACCACTTCTAGCTTTGCTAACAGCAAGCCTGGCTCTGCTAAGAAGTTAGTGATCAAGAACTTTAAAGGTAACCAAGGCCAAAATCCATAATCACCTACTAAGGATTTGACACTTGAGCGGTCACGTGCTCTATTTATGTTAATATATTAAACAGTATAGAGGTGGCCTAATGTTTTATGCATAATCAATGAGGTGGAGGGAGGTCCTTTTTTGGGTGGAGGGTTCATTTTCCGGGGGTGGTTAGTATTCTTGTGCTGAAGCATACACCGAATGTTTCTGTGCAATATTTTGATATCTGGCTCAGCTTATATCTGATCTGTTATTATAACATTGACAATCAATATGATTGATCTGGATTATACAGGTGAGAAGTTTGTATTCTAAAGAGGTTTATTTATTTCAGGTGCATAGTGAGCCCAGGCACTAATGGGATTTTTATTTTTATGCTTCGGTAGGCCACATTCTCTAGTCCCTAGAAATGCAGGTAGCAATGGTGATCTTTTCATGCTCAATGATGATTTATAGTTAGATTGATAATGTTGGGTACTATATTCTTGAAACTCATTGTATAAGCAGTATTTGGAGAAAAACATTTATGATCTCTGCATTTCTTTTCAAAGGTAAGGTTTGGAAGTGAAAAATACTGTGTACACAGAAGTAGTAACTCTGTGTACAGTAGTCTAAAGATAGGAACAATTACTACATCTATTTTTTTTTCACTAAAATGGGTTTCAAAGTACTGACCTGCAGTTTTTAGGAAAATTCGTTCATTTTATGTTTGAGGTACGTGATTTAGAGTATTATGAATGTATTGATGCATAGAAAATCAACAGTTTTTAAAATGTAAGTGAGCTGAATTACTTTTTTCTGTTGACTGTTTCTATTTTTCTGACTTAGTTTTTCAGCATCCTTAACTGGTAGGTAATAGATGATGTTTATTAAATGGAGAAGTAAATGAATGAACTGAAGTAATATTTACCAGATAAGTGCCTTGTGGCTAAATATTAGTTTTGAGAAAATTAGATTCTCAATGCTTGTGTTTTCAGCATTAGTGTGGAAATCAGGAACATGCTTTATTTTGTTTAAAGCAGAGGATTATAGTGTTTGTTTTTAACCTTCTCTTTTTTTCCTATCACTCTTCTCCCATCCCCAGGTTCTTAAGTGTTGTAATCTTTCTGATTTAATTAGACCTTTCTGAAGTAAATGTGTATTGTAATTGACTAGCGTGTTCACTATTCCACTCAAAGTGTATCGATTTAATAGCCAAGAATTTTTAAAGAGATGAGCTATGATCCTAATTTCATTTGCATACTGGTCTCTGAGATTTTGTTTGGGTTATTTCTTTCCCTCTTAAACTAAAAACATATCGTTAAGGTATTAGGATGTTCTAATTAAAAAAAAATACTCGTTGCTGGTCAATGAAGTTTAAAGCCTGGGTTAAGAGAGTCCTTTCCATTCTGAAAATGCTACATAGGTTCTGGAGTCATTTGGATGTTATAATTTTTTTAAATTTCACTCTCCTCGTAGATGTAGTTTAAATTAAAACCTGAGTGAAGATGTTTCTCTCCATTTGTGGATGGTGCATAAATGTGAGGATCAAGCAGACTTGGATTAGAATCCTAGTTTTGCCATTAGCTGTTGATGACCTTGGGCAAGCCTTACTAAATGAGTCTTCTTAGTTTTCTTGGTTGCAAGATAGGGATAAATAATACCTTCCTTAGAGCATTGTTAGGGAGATTAAGATGTTTGTAAAGTGCCTTGTGCATAGTAGACATTCAGTGTTTTAAATCTCAGGTGCACAATTCATGTTGACTGATTTAGGTTTTACATGTGATGGAATAAGATCAAGATTGTTATTTTTTATCTGCGATTCTTGAATTTTTATTTTTTGGAGCAATACAGTCAGTTGCAAAAAAAAAAAAAACCCTTGCCTTTCATTCTAATAGGTGAGTCAAAATGACATAAACAGTATTGTGGCATTTCAAATTTTATTCTTTATGCTAAGCCTAAATACAGTAGCTACTTTAATATTTAGATGTAATAATTACAAAAATCACAGTTTACCCTTAAAAAGCAGTAATACTATTATTTTACCTTAATGGATCCTTTCCTTACTGTATGCTACATATTCTGATATCAACCTTGTACATATTATCTAGATAAGCCCAAATTACCAGAGAACTACACGGATGAAACATGGCAGAAGCTGAAAGAAGCAGTGGAAGCTATCCAGAATAGTACTTCAATTAAGTACAATTTAGAAGAACTCTATCAGGTATGTATGAACGTGGATACCGGATTTGGCCAGCGTAAATTGAGGTGGTATGTATATGGATTTTACTTTGAAATGAGTCTTTATATAGACTTACAGTTTTCTTCTAATGAAAATTTCTTGATGAATTTATGCACTCTTTTATAATCAGACTACATATGCTGACATACTGACATTCTGACAAACTATGAGTACAGTCATATTGGTATATATTGGGTTTATCTTAGACCCTTATGAGGAGATTAGGATTTACAGTGAGGAGTACCTTGGTATAATCAAGGTTTTACCTATAATGGAGTCCTACAGCCCGGATCCCAAAGGTAATTTCTGGTGACATGTCATTCCGTTAGGTTACTTCTTGCTAAGTGGGGTTACTCGCCTATAGGAAAGACCTCAAGAAATGCAGATATTCTCTGTATACTTTATCCTCCCTCCTTCTTATTAGTAGCCCTTTGCCGTTTCTTTTTCTTGCTCTTTATGTTTGTTTTATTTTCTGGGCTACAAGACAGTCCTTAGCCAAAAACTGGCATCAGATTGTAATCCAGTGAGGTTCAGGTTTGTTTTTTTGCTTAACAAATGGGTCTATACTTGTACTGTTTAGTTTAAATGTACTATTAAGAACAATTACTGATTTAGACTGCTTACTACCATGATATTTTGCCTACTGTATTTTTTTAAAGATTTTATTAGCACATGAACAAGCAGGGGTGGGGGGAGAACCAGAGGGAGAGGGAGAAACAGATTCCCTGCTGAACAGGGAGTCCAGTGCAGGGCTTGATCCCAGGACCCTGAGATCTTCACCTGAGTCAAAGGCAGACGCTTAACTGAGGGCCCTGTCCTACTGTATTTTTGACACAACCACTTCAAGAAGTTACTTTCCATTGTAGCACAAGCAGTTTATATATATAAAAAAATTCAGAGTACCAATAGTTTGTGCTTTTTTTTTTAAAAAAAGATTGATTTATTTTAGAGAGCGAGGGTATATGCAATTGAACCGGGGGGAGGGCAGAGGGAGAATGAATCTCAAGCAGACTCTGTGCTGAGTGGGGTCGTGAGGACTCGGGGTTGTCCCCAAGATCATGACAGCCAAAACGAAGAGTCAGAAGCTTAACCGGCTGTGCCACCCAGGCACTATGTTTGTGTTTTTCTTATTGATAAGTACCTTCTAAGAAATTAAGTTGGTTTGATTGATCAGAATTTGTCGTTTTTATCTATTCATTTCAGTTGCAGAGGTGGTATGGTAATGGGCAAACCCAACCTGGATTAGGAGTCCGAAGACAGATTTGGGATCTTCTTTTGGTGGCTGTTACCCTTCTGATCTTGAGCAAGAAACTAGACCTCCCTCAGCTTCATTTTCCTCCTCTGTAAAACAGGGAAAAGAGTACTTGTCCTACCTACCTCACGGGGTTGCTTCTAAGAATCAAATTAAGATGTGAGAAACCCCTTGAGGCACCATGTTATAGAAATATAAGATGATGTTATCACTAGTGAAGCTCTTTCATAAGTCACAGTGTGGCTTTTGCACTTGTAATAAGTCAATTAAGATCACCAGTTTCTGTTGCTGTGAGAACTGAACGAGTCAGTGCATGTGAAACACTCAGAACGATGCCCAGCACGTAGTTAATAATGTCATACAATATTACCGCTGTAACACAATGTGTCAGGTATTAGCTGTACTGAGCTATTAAGGAGAAGCCCACCTTAGTTGGCTGTGTTGGTATATTGTATATGTGGCTCCTGGGCTGTGCAGTAATAAAAGTCGAATTACGGAATTAGAGTTGGAAAGGCCTTAAGAGATCATGTAGTCCCGTGGCGTTTCTTCGTATAGTGCAGGTGGTCCTCTACAAATCAGGTTTATCTTTTATTATCTTTTAAGCATTATAGGAACTGTTTGTGAATTAGACACGGTAGCAGTTATTATTCCTCTATTGATCAGGAAACTCAGTGTCAGGGAAGTTAAATAATGTGGCCAGACTCCCGTTGAGATGCCCAGGTTTCAAGCCAGTGCACTTCCCCTCCTGTGCTGCTTCAGTGATACACTGTAGCACTTTGAGTACCTCTGTAGAGCAGTGTTAGAGGCAGACCCTTTCACTTTAGGGAAAAAACTGTCCTCAAAGAAGGTAATTTTTTCCTTCACGTGTGTGTATATACAGTGTTTATTTGTATATACGGTGTTTATTTGGGTATGGTGGTATATAGCAACTTTAGTTTCAATAATGTTATTTTATGTTTTATGTTTATAGCATATTGTTTTAAAGTATCACTTCTTTAGGAAGCAGGAAGAGCTTAGGAAAGCTCTCTGCTGAGCAGAGAGCCCAATGCGGGGCTCGATCCCAGAATCGTGGGATCATGACCTGAGCTGAAGGTAGAGGCTTTAACCCACTGAGCCACCCAGGCGCCCCCTGTTTATAGCATATTGATTGTGATTGTTATTGAACCCTATTTACTTTACCTTGAATATTTTCCTAGAGCTTTTGGGTTCAAAAATATTTTTCTGCTAAATTGATTCTCTTCAATTCTTTTATGTTTCAAGAGTTCATAGCTTACATTTTTTTGTTTTTCATTTTCTTCTACTTCAGAATTATTACCTGCTATTGTTCAGTTGCGTTTCTTTAGCCTAAAATCAGCGT